GCCAGGTTATATGAAGAAGAACGCAGCACGGTATTGAAGGAAGGCTCACTACGAATCTGTGGTCCGCAAATGACACAACCTTGCTCGTTCAAAGTGAAGAAGCTTGAAGTACTTACTGATGAACCTCAAGAAAACAAAAATCCTCAAAAAAGGACTAATAAGTAACAGCTTGATAAGTAGAGAAAAGATGGAATCAATGGAGAAAGCTTGAACTGGTCAAAGATTTCCTTTATTTGGCTCCACAATCAATGCCTGTGGAAGGAGTGATAAAAAAATCAATAGATGGACAAATCTGCCACAAAATACAGTCAGGAGAGCCAGCCCCTAACAAATCATCACGGGTCCGGTAGGCACAATTGTACAGCAATAATTAGTAAATATTATAGTCAAGTCATAGAGAAATAGAGGCGATAGAAGAGAGATTGGAATAATGGAGTCAGACACATTTTATGGTAGCATGCTCGCTCACCTCAGCTCCTCTTGGTGGTACAGGGCAGGAGTGCAGCAGGTAGGAGAGAGGGGGAGGGAGGAGGAGGAGGAGGATAAGGGGAGAGGGGACAGGGGAGCGAGGACCAGGAGAGAGAGGATGGAGGAGAGAGCTCTCTTTATTTCTAACCATGGCTTATATACCTTTGGGGGTGTGCAAGCCCCCTAATTACAGGTAAAGACATACATCACAGGAAGGGGTTGTGCTATAGGTAATGTAGTCATGAAAGGGGGACGATCTAGGGGTATGCACACAATAGGAAGGGGAGGGATTGGGGGGATGCATGTGACAAGATGGGCAGATCCTAGATTCATGATGGCAGCCTAACCTTGATTGCCCGAGAGCTGGAGACTATTTAGCTAGCATTTCAGAGGAAGCCATCCACTGTCCCTAACAGCAGGGAGTGAGCCCTGCCTGTTGTGGGAGAAACAATGGTGTCTGCTTGCTCTGGATGGCTGGGGTCTTCAGGGAGATAACTTGACAATCATTTACCATTAGTTGCAAGCAGTGTCTTAGGTCTAACATATATATTTGGGGGAGTCAAGTTGGGGAACAGTCTTTGTATCCCACAAAATACTACTTTAAGGTTTATTGTGCCAACCTGGCTGATAAACATGTGGGCTTAATTGAAGAGCAGAGAGATAAATGGCTCCTCAGGCCTCGCCTTTCTTGTTCTCTGGTCTCTTGTCCTCTGATGGTCGGACCAGTGTGGGGCTGCCTTAGCTGGCAAGGCTCACTTCCTGTGAGACTTCCCTGAGGAGAAGCCACATGGACCTACCCCAATGCAGCCCTGGGTGCTGGAGAAGCTGCATGGAGACCCCTGCCAGCGCTGAGATGTTTACACCACCACTGGATTCAAAGACTTTCTACCCACTGGCCTGTGATCCTCCTGCATTCAGCGTCATTGCATGTATTTGGGGAGTTTGAGGAGGACTTTGTAGATTGGTGTCGGACATATGGGCTAACTTGGACTTATGGGCTTGGACTGGACGGGGTTGGGATGCTTTCTGAATGTACATTTACCCTCTATCTAAAACTCTCTCTTATACATAGATGAGTTTCTGTGGATTTGTTTCCCACTAACACAGACTTGTCAAAGATTTCCCTTTATTTAGAGCCACAATCGATGCCTGTGGAAGAAGCGATCGAACAATCAATAGATGGACAAGTCTGCCACAAAGTCCTACTACTAAAATGCTGAAAGTTAAGCCAGTTTAAGAACGATACTGCTCCTGACCCAGTTCATGCTATTGCCCACGGCCTCATCTACTGGGAAAGCTGGAAACGGAAGCAAGCAGAAGAATGGATGCATCTGAAAGACAGTGTTGGCTAAGATTATTGATAGTACCACGGACTGTCATAAGACAGACAAAGCTCTTCTTGGACGATGCCTAGATGTCCTTAGAAAGACGGGGACACTTCACGCCACTTACTTTGGACATGTTATCAAGTGGAACTAGTCCCTGGAGAAGGATAACATACTCGGTAACTTAAAGAGCTACTGAAAAGAGGAAGACTCTCAAGCAGCTGGGCTGGCCCCGTGGCTGAACCACTGCACTTAAGCACAGCAATGGAAGTGAGGCCGGCACAGGCCCGGGCTGGGCTTCGAGCTGTGGTGCCTGGGGTTGCGCTGAGGTGCAGTGAGTCGACGGCACATCACAGCAGCAACATTTACACACAGGACTTCTTTCGAAAACATCCATAGACTTCCCGGCACCTCAGACCCGAATAATGCCTCTTTGTGCTAAAAAGAGTCCAAGGCAAAAGTTCCACTGAGCCACAGAGATACAGAACGTTTGCTCCTTTTTCCATGCATGGAAAAAGTCAATACCCACCCCACACATGACCTCGGTCAACTCCAAAATCTCACTTACACAACTGTCTGTTCCTTTGAAATGTGGGCTCTTGACAGCTCCTGGCTGCCAAAGGGTCTCTCCTCCCTTTTTCTCAGAGTGCCCACCATATTAACAGCCCTCCTATCCATCCCCAGGGAAGCGGGGGTTTACACCTGATGAGATTGAGCTTGGCTTCTTCCCCCTCTGAGTCAGACCTAGGTCTACTGTGTCATGTTACACTATCATGTCGCCATCAAGAACCTACTAGACAGGACATTCCTGAACCTGGCCATGTGCTGGCTCAAGACAGAAGTGGGATGTTATCAGAAATGTGAGCCACCTAATTCTAAGTTGCTTTTAGCCTCAGATCTCATTTCACCAGTTCATCAAATTCCACAACCTCTGCATATTTTGAGGTGCATTTTTTTCGAGTTCCGTTAGAATGACCCTGACTGGTTCCACCATGGTTCTGGTAAGTCACCAACTCATTATAAATGCAAGTCTGAGGGTAGTCGCCATAAGTGCCCTAACACCACGCTTATCTGTGGCTGGGAAAGCTGGATCCTTGACAGGGGATGCCCGGAAGTGAGAGAGAAGAGAGGAGAAATGATCTACAAGTAGTTGGGATCCTACGGAGGTTTATTATGGGGGTCAGGAAGAGACACAAGATCTCCTTGGATGCGGTAGTCTAGATCTACTGGGGTCGGAGAGAAAACACCGGCTTAATGGAGAGAGGTTGCCCCGACCCCATATCTGGTTTCTTTCTCAACTCATGCAACAAAGAAGAGGTTTTAAGAGGTCCCCTAAAGTTTTATGTCAACTCTTGTGACACAAGCATCTTTTTTTTTCTTTCCTGATAAATGTCGTCATAGCTCTCCAAGAATCTGCATAAAGCTGTATCCTCCCTCAAGTTAAGAACTGCTGCTCTATGCTTTCTGGTCAGAACTACTCTTATTTTACACTGTAAGATCTTAAGTATTCATCTGGGAATCAGTTCCACCATGGAATCCCATACATTTCTTTCTTGCCCTCTTTGCCACCTCAGAGGGGACAAAACGTGGTTTTAACTTCAGCAAACATCAACATCTTTGAGAACGTGAGTTGCTAATATTTTGTTTTCTAATGAGCTGCTGTCCAATGTTCACCCAAAAGGAACACCACACATTCCACCCACATATATTCATGGGTTCATCTTGGTTTTTATGATGATGAAATATGCAAAATATGCATGTAAACACAGTTGACCTTATTCTTGCTGGGAAAGGTAGTCACCGGGTTGCTGGCAAAATGCAGTCGCTACCTAAATAGATTCTGAACGAAGTGAAACCAACCTTATAATCATCAGGCTGATTCTTACTCATAGCAGCGCTATGGGATAGAGTCGAACGAACTGCCTCATAGGGTTTCCAAGCTGGTACATCTTTAGGGGAGCAGACGGCCACATTTTTCTCACCAAGAGCAGCTGTAGGATTCACACTGGTGACCTTTCCCTTAGCAGCGGAATGCTTAACCATTTTGACACCAAGCTTCCTTCAAATGGCTTCTAGCTAACCATTAACAACTTTATTCCACTTAGGATGGAGCACCACTTGATCGGCCAAGGAACAATCAGGCTGAGTCCCGCAGGAATGAGCTGAGGTCGGGAGAAAGCTCTAAAAGGTGTCTACCAATCCAGCTGGGGAAGCGGATCCCTTTCCCTTTAAAGCCCACTCCATCCCTTTGCGATTCCAGTCTAAATTTAATATGCTAGGCAGTTTAAAGCACAATTACATAGCACATTCAATCTCTCTTACATTTGTTGATTTACTGAAAATGTGCTGCCTTCGAAAATGGCTTTGAAAGGTCATGCTAAGAAGCACAACATTGCCTTGCCCAAGTGAGGGCTTGCACTACATCCGGACACAAAATCCTACAAAGACAGCTGACTCAACGAGAGGAGGCATTCTTTCTTCTGTTCGTTTCCAGAGAAGACTTTCCATTGACAGCTGCAATGCCAGTCTTCCATAAGAATGCCATGCTGACCTTCCCGCAGGCCGCTTTCCACCCACGCCTTTGCCCGGCCTGCAGGGCTGACGCCACTAGGTCTAGGACATCAGAGAGCCTGCCGGCGGCCTACATCAGGGCTTCTTGGCACTACTTGGGTCAGCACCACAGCTGCCCCCGCAATGCCATGCATCACCTAGGCGTACGTTCATGCTTGCTCAGCCTTTTTCCTGCCCATGCCACAATGTCTCTCGGCCGGCCTCAGCCTCCGTCAAATGGGGCTGTGGCTACAAGCTTCCTGAGGAAGGTATGATGGCAAAATCAAGTCCTGAGAAAAGCATGTGGCACGATGCCTGACCGGTAATCTCTCATGATAGCGATCACTGAAGCACACCCAGGCACCTCCAGCTAGCAGAGAATGAAAGCGGGCAGACAGAATAAAATCAGCCTGCCCCCTCCTCTCTGAGCCGGACAGCTGAATGCGTGCGCACTGAAGACAGAGAAAGCAGAACCTGTCATATTTCTCTGCCGCACAGACTCCACGATGCCCTTCCCAGGCTTCTTCAAGGACCGTCTCTGGAGAAGTAGCACCAGCCAAAGTTAGAAAGCCTGGACTTGTCAGGAGACGCGGCAGGGACCCCCGCTAGTATTTTGTGACCCCCCGGCACAGCACAACTTCTGACACGAGGGCCCACCTGGGTTGAAGTCGCACTGTGTCTTGGCACCTGAAGGTGTTGTTTTGTGGATTCTCACGAGGTGGCGTTCCCGCTCCCCCCTGGCACTCCGCCTGGCCAGGCACCACCTGCTCTGTCTCCTACAAGAAGCAACGACAGAAGCACAAGAGCTGTCAGGAGCGATCAGTTCCACAGGGTTCTTTGGCTGCATTTTGCAAAGCAGAGAGACAGCAATATATAACACGTTCCACCGATGAAAGTGCGAGAAAGGAATCCCGGCAGGATCCTGGAATTTTAAGCACCTCTTGCTATCAGTCAGTTGCTGCAAGATTAAGAATCAAAAGGTAGCACAGAAATAAACAATAAAAATTTCCACAGTTGCTGCAAGATTAAAAATAAAAAGGTAGCACATAAAAAAACAATAGAAATTACATAATCACTCAATGAAAAATGTCAAGCTATTTAAAATGTTGTTGAGGAGTATTTAATTAAAAGACACATATGGAAAGATACACATTGTGTTGATTTTAGAATAAGATTTTTAGTATAAGCACAGATTTTCAAAAATGACTATATATACACACACATACATTGATTGGGAAATAGGAACTGAAATCTTAACAGTGACTAACTCTTTGTTTCGTTTTTTTCCTTCTGAAGGTCATCTATAGTTTCTTAATTTTCTGCAATGACCATAACATTAATTCTATAACAAGACTGAAAACTAAGGAATTAATCATTTTTATAAACTCCAAATTCCTCATCTCTCTCCTTCTCTTCCCATCTTTTCTGCCTGGGTGTCTGTGTCTCAATTTCTTTCTCTCTCTCTCTCTCTCTCTCTCTCTCTCTCTCACACACACACACACACACACACACACACACACTTTAGGTACGCTGTATCCAAAGAAACTACTACATAGTTCACCCCATGATGTAATCCACTCATTAATTTAGAGAATGAAAAACTCTCTAGGGAATATCATAAAAACACCAGGTGAAAATTCATCTAGATTCAACACAATGATGCACAGACCCAAAGTGAAAGATTTATATACGTCTAGCTATAGAATTACTAGTCTTTGAGCCTTCCAAATCTCTAATGGGGAAACTTTCTTGAGGATAAAAGAGCCCCTCTTTATCTGATAAATGAGACACTAAAACCAAAGTTGGTTATTTCCATGAGAAGTTAAGTCAGTCAATAACGACTGTCAGGCAGTATTTAAATAGCGTAGTGGGTCTGTAAGATATCTGGAGGTGCCCCTGGCGATTCAGCACCTCCTTTGGTGTATGGGTCGGAGTCAGTAATTGTGACAATGCCCAGCATCTCTGATGTTAGTTCTCCACAAGACTCGAGTGAACTGGAGCAACTGTATGCCAACAGTCCTTCCAAGCTTCTAAATCAAAGTTATAAGAAAGTCTTCCAGTCATGGAATTGTATACTCCAGAAATGTGTTGAAATCTTACCCCTTGTACTTGTAAATGTGGTCCAGATTGAAAATATAGCTTGTTCTTAATAAGCATTGTTAAGTAAAAAAGGAGCCCTGGTGGCATAGAGGTTATGGATTGGGCTGTAATCTCCAAGGTCCCCAGTTCGAAAACACCAGCTAGCCTGTGGGAGAAAAATGGGGTTTTCTATTCCCATAAAGAGTGACAGTCGCAGAAACTCACAGGGGCAGTTCTACCCTATCCTATAGGGTCACTGGGAGTGGGCGTGGACTCAAGGGCAGTGAGTTTATTTTTATTGTTATTCTAATGGAGTCAAGCCAGTGCAGGGTAGATCCTAAACCATATCATTTTTGACTAATATAAAGAACAGAGTAGCTACGGAGACACGCAGTGACAAAATGTCATATGAAGACAGTCATACACATCTACAAACTCCAAGGATTTTAGGCTACAAGATGCTGTAATAGACAGAGGGGCCATCACCAAGAGCCATGCCCCCAATTCATACCCTGAGTCTCTTGAATGATGAGACATTTCTGTTCTTTAAAGGCACGCATTTGTGTCTATTTTGTTATGCCTGCACTAGGTAGTGAAGGAATTTCCTGATTAAAAAGAAAAAGAGAAAATGAAAAGAAGTCGAGATGGAGAAAGAATTAATCAGGCCTTTCAACAGCCTTTCTTTGGTTCCATTTCCTCTAGCCCCATCAAGTAATAAGATGTCATATGACAACTTTTTACCAATATGATTGCTGCCTACACTTAGCAGCTTCTTATGAAAAATTCTATAGGCCTAAATGCCAATCAAGTTCCCACAATGCTGAATGTGTTCTTCCTTCAAAAACTCTTTCGGAGCTTGAGAGTCTTTTGTTCATTACACACGGACCGAACACTTCAATTGGTGTCTTCCAGGTCCTTATCTCTTCATGGACAGCCCCCATGTGGCTCCGCAGCTCCATCTAGATCATATGGGAATGGACGAGAGCCTTCAGATGATTCCAGCCCTGTGGCTTCAGGTCCTCCAGCTCAGGCACTAGGGAGCAGAGGACTCCCTCAGGTCTCCTAAGCAAACCCAAGAGCGACCCTAGATGTTATAACGAGTCTCTAAGTGTGGGACTATTTGTTACATAGGAATACATAACAAAAATATTACCACCTTGCTTCCACGCTAAGATACTATCAATTGTAAGTGCCACCATCAGCTTGATTAACTACCAACACTTTAGAAAAAGAAAAAATACTTTATTAATCACTCATCTGGTTTTCAAAAAAACCCAAAGCATTTTATTAGGTGGGAGCTAATACAGATATCTTATCATTCCATCGTTCAATCACATCAAGTCGTATTGTACAACTGTTACCACGGCAGTTTGTGAATCCTTAACACCAGCTCCCTTTTACACACTATCCCCACCACTGTACCCCCAGAAACCCTTATTCTATTTGTTATCTCTGGAGGTTCATCAATCCTGGGTTTCATCTACTGAAAACCAGAAAAACATATAACAAAAATTCAAGAGAATACATGATAGAATACATGAGAGATGAACCCCAATATGGGAAGATTAAAAAAACAAAACAAAAACTAACCCCCACACAGGAAACGTTGCAAACCGGATCAGGCCCCACATGTATCCGAGGGGGAATCGAGTGATAAGGTTTTCACCATTCAGGTCAGGTGGATCAGTTGAGCTCCTACAGTCCTCTCTCTCTGTTCGGTATCCAGTTTACTCCCTTCCCTCCATTACGAATAGAGGGACCTCACCAGAGGCGTATTTCCTGTGCAGATCTCAGAAACACATCGGAGGCTTCTGCTGTCATTCACAGCCTTCTGTAAACCAGGGTCTCACAACGTGGGCTCTGATGCTATGCCCTCCTTCCGATTCCATGATTTCCAGTCCTTGGGGCACTGGTGATGATGTGCTTCTCCCATGTGGACTTAGCTGCTATCTCACTTAGACGGCTCCTTGTTTGGAACCAAGTCTTAAGAGACCCCAGACAGTACTATATCTGATAGCCAGGCACCATCTAATAATTAGCAGTTCTCCACCGCTAATTGTGTGGGGGTCACCACAACACGAGGAACTGTATTAAAGGCATTAGGAAGGTTGAGAACCACTGATCTTATTTCTTTACCACACTTTGCCATAGCACCCATGTCTTCAGTGTCCCATTCCTGAGGGTGAGACCCATCAGTTTTTAAGTGCCCACAAATTTCCAAACTGTGGTGTGCTGGCATGAAAGATCTAAGCAGCATGCACAGCAAAGCTCAACACCCTAAGTAACACAAAAGGCGGCACCCTCGGAAACGCAAGTTAAAGGGTCTGACCTGGAAGATTCGTAGTGAAGAAACGCACTGCCATCTAGTTGATTCTGACTCCTGGAGACCCTGTAGGACAGAGCAGAACTGCCCCATGGGTTTCCAAGACTGCAAATCTTTATTGGAGTAAAAAGCCTCATATTTTTCCTGCAGAACAGCTGGTGGTTTTGAACTGCCGACCTTCTGGTTAGTAACCCAACTCGTAACCACTGTACCAACAACCTAATTCTTAGTTACTCTAGTTTTTCAAATTAACTTCATGTTTTCTCTTAGGAAGAAGAGAAGGGACACATAACGAATTAATAGAACATAGCTTTGTAAGGTATTGCATTACCAAGTGTCACATACTTATAAGAATATAATGAAAATATACATGTGTCAAATGAGAACAGTGATAACCAATCATATTTCTCTGCCTTGTAATGGTGAATTACCAGATACATGAGACATCAGAATTCCAGATCTGTTCCAGTTGGACTGTACCAATGGTCAGTGTAAAGGTTAACCCAAGCTGCAAATGAAAGTTGTTGTAGTAGATAATATACTTGTAGGTGATGAAAGTTCCTATTTCTCCCCAGGCTTAGTTCTGTGTACCTAAGCCTAGCAAAGTGCTCGGCACATAGGAGATGCTCAATAGTGGATCAATGGCTGATTAACTAATACAAAGGGTAGAAGAATAGAAAAGAGAGATGCGTGTAAAGGACAGTCTAAGTGGGAGCCAATTAGCTAAGAATAGGAGAACACTTCCAGATAACACCACTAATATTGAGTTACTCTGGTTTTAAACCTGTCCCCAAAGTATGACTGATGACGGAGTATTCCCCATATTAAAGAAAGGGGATCACCGAAATTAAATGGCTCAAAAACTCCATCCCGATATACCATATCTTTTCCTGCAAATAGCATGCCCATGTGCATAAAACACATACAGCCAGCACACATAAGAAAGTAATGTACAAGTAGCCAGAATGGCTTGCCAGAAAACATACAACGTATGAATTATTTTGCAGTAAAAAAAATAGTAACTGATTGTAGGATACTTTTTAAAATTGGATAACGACCAGCTACATTACATCAGGTTTACGAATACCTCCACTTTCATCTCAGTGAGTGATTATAGTGTAAATAACTACCATAGGCAACTGACATTTTATTCCCTATAGCACTACATTCTGGTCTTGGTACTGACACTGTCAGGTCACATAGTACAAGGCACTTAATGCTCTTGAGATTAAATTCATCACCAGGAATGCTGCAAAGATAAAAGAAATGATCAATCCCAAACTGTTTGTTATCCTGGGCCGAGTGGAAGAACTAAATGATATATGTTTTATTTTATTTTAAATATGACTCTGAGTTGGTATGTTCCAAGTTGGC